ATCAGGGAGCTCTTGAAGAGGTTTGACATGGAAGCATCAAAGGTGATAGACACTCCCATTGCTACGACCACTCGACTGAACATGGATGAAACTGGATCTCCTGTGAATCAAACTATGTATAGAGGCATTATTGGGTCTCTTTTCTATCTCACTGCTAGCAGACCTAATATTGTCTTCAGTGTGGGGCTCTGTGCAAGGTTTCAATCAAATCCCAAGGAATCTCATTTGAAGGATGCCAAAAGAATTTTGAGATACCTTAAGGGAACACAGGACCTGGTCCTTTATTACCCCTCAGGTGACAGTTTTAATCTCATTGGATATGCTGATGCTGACTATGCAGGTTATCTTGTGGACAGAAAAAGCACTTATGGAATGGCTCACTTCCTAGGTTCATGTCTCATCTCTTGGGGCACAAGGAAGCAAAACTCAGTGGTTGTTTCAACAGCTGAAGCAGAATATGTAGCTGCAGCATCCTGCTGTGCTCAACTCCTATGGATTAAGCAGCAACTGGAGGATTTTTAGGTACTTACTGAGAGTGTGACCCTTCTATGTGATAACACCAGTGCACTCAACATGGCCAAGATTCCAGTTCAACACAAAAGGACCAAGCATATTGATGTGAGGCATCACTTTCTGAGGGACAATGTGAAGAAAGGGTTGATTTGTATGAAGTTTTGCAAAACAGAAGACCAAATTGTAGATATCTTCACCAAAGCATTGAGTAGGGAACATTTTGAAAGAAATAGGGTGAAGCTGGGGCTTTTGAAGCCCAATTGAGAACCTGATTCCTCATCATTTGGCTATGAAAATCACCTTCAGGTAAAACTAGCTAAAGTGTTTTCTGGCCAAGTCTAACTCACTTCAATATCGTTGTAGGTAAACACACATGATGAGTATAGAAGCTGTAGATGGAGTGCATGGATGATAAAAGAGGATTGATATTTTCAGATAACAGGTCAAGAACCTGGTTCTTGTACCAAATGTTAGTAGTTCTGTGCATTCTTTAATACACGTCTTGAAAACGTATAACAATCAACTGCCATGTCATCCACCTTTTAAGACCCTGCTGTCACGTCTCTTCACTTCAAATCATTCCATCTCCCTCTGAAATGTTGCACTTCTCTACGCACAACCGCCGCTTTAGAACCGGTTCCTATCTCTCTCTTCATAATTATCCATTCTTAATAAAACCCTTATCCTTTCTCCACAAACCATAAGTCCTCCATTAGAACTTCTCCGAAGCACCTTCACTCCATCTTTTCAATGGCTGATACAAACTCCGACATCCCTGCCTCAGTCATCCCTAATACTGAAAAACCTATGGAGTCCTCCGTCCCCACTGAGTCTTCTGTAACCACTCCTGCTCTCCTCGCTAAAATGACACCTAACCCAGATTCCCCGTCTCTCTCCATCCCAGAAACCTTTAAAATTATTGATTCGTCCTCTCTATCTTCTGAAGATCCCACTGATCAAAGAAAAAATGGAGAACAAGGTCAAAGTCCTGAGGTTGCAGACGGTTCTGCCATTGTTGCTGCAGATTCCGTGGTGGCAGTGGTGCCGATTGAGGAAGAAAATGTCGTAACCATCTTTGTGGTATCTGCTGACGGTGTCCTGCGTGAGATAATTTCTCAGAGAAACGAGGTACATGGTATGGGGGAAGAAGGAGCCATAGTGACTATTGAGGGCTCTGCACTAGCAGAAACTACTGGGCCCTCACATGAGGAACCTGACCCCTCTCTGGAGGACCCAGGTCAGGGTTCTCCTTCCCATGCCAGTTCTGCTCCTGCATTTGCTGTTGCATCCTTGGATATTCAAGCTCCTGAGATGAGGTCTAGCGATGAGGAGGATTTAGACAACCTAGCTCTTGATGCGTTCATAGTCAAGCGAAGGGTGGTGTCCACTCCTGAGTCTTCCACTAAGCGACCTACTACCAGGTCGCAAGCAAAGGTAGCCTACGACTATGCCCTTCAAAAGAGCAGAAAAAGTAGTAAGAAGCAAATGAGGAGGTTGGTAAAAGACAATGTGCCAGTGTGTGTTAAAGTTTTCCCTGTGGTAGAAGTGGAAGAGGAAACACCACAGGAACCTGGTTCCTTGGTGAGACGGTCCCAGAAAAAGAAGCAACCTGATTCAGTAGAGAGTGTTTCAACCCCCAGTTCCAAGTTGAAGGATGTTGTGAGTGAGCCCTTAATTTCTGATGAGGATGTCTTAGTCAAGTCTATGGGAAAAGAGAAATAAAGTGGTGGGAAGTCTGGCAAACGAAAGTTTGAAACTGTTAAGGAACTTGGTTTTGTGAAAAAGCTGAGGAGTGAAAGTAGTTCTGCTTCAGAACGCCTAAGACACCAAAAGGTTCTGCTGGGTCGTACTTTTGACCTAGCAATCTCTGATATGGCTGGTATGCGACAAGTTCTTGAGTTGGTTGAGTTTCAACGATGGGGGCATCTATTCCAAATGGATGTACCTAAGGTGTATGAGGATGAGGTTCAAAGCTTCTTTGCTAGCCTCTTTCCTATTGATACCGATCATATTTGTGCTTTGGTGAATGGAGAAGATATCGTGTTCGATGTGAGTCTGCTTGGGGATATTCTTAAGGTCCCTACAGTTGGTGTGTCTAGTGTGAAAGATGCGTGTGGATCTAACTTCCGGAATGTTGTGGTAAAGGATAATTCGAACCAAAAGGGGAACCAGATTCACAAGAAGGCATTGCTCCCTGTTTATCAGTTGCTCTTCGAACTGGTGAACAAAGTTTTGTTGCCTCGTGCTGAAAGGACGTCCATGACTTCTACATCTGATATGTTTCTAATGGAACAACTAGATGGCTTCAACCCTATGAACTTGCCTGCTATCATGATCGAACATATGCAGAAGGTAGCAACCTTCAAATATGGCAATCATGGTCTTCCATACAGGTTTCTACTTACTCATGTGTTCAAATTTTTCAAAGTGCCATTGGGGCAAAGCAAGGTAGGAACCAAGAGGCAGACTTTCTCACATACAACGTTGGAAGAATGTGAGTGTACAGATAAGAATGGGGGGTTAGGCAGTACATCAATCATCTCACAGCTCATTAATGCTCAAAATAGCGCAACTGAGGAGATTCGAAGGTTAAAAGCTAGGAATGCTATCCTGGAAGGTCAGCAAGCCCAAAGGGCTCCGACGTCAAATGATGAAGTGGCTCGTTTGACACTCGAGAATGCTGATCTCAGGGCACAAGTGGAGAACCTGAAAGCAGAAATGCTCAATGAGCAAAAGTCAGCCAATGCCCGAATAGACTTAGTTCTCCAAACTCTTGCTGCAGCTTCCAAGTCCTCTACTCCTAGTGCCCCCTAAGTACCCCTTCAGTGACCAGTTTCTGGATTGTCTCTTTTAAGTTTTTTTTCTTCGTGGCAGATGTTTTGTTTCTTTTTTTGATGTGATTGGGATGTAACAGTACTGCTCCCATTTTTAACAGTCCAATTTTGCCTTTGCTTTTAAGCAAAGGCATATGTTGTTTTCCTCCTTTATTATCTCATTGCTTAAATTTTCTACTTCTCTTCTCTATCATGTTGTGTGCACATATGTGGCAAGAGTTAGCTAGGCTAGACTTCTTTATGTTGTTTGACTGCTTGTGTCTTTTTAATGATGCCAAAAGGGGGAAGTATAATTTGAATCAATGATCTGATTAAGGGGAAGCATAAAGTCAGGGGGAACTTGTGAAGCTCCTGTTACTTTATCTGGTTCTCTTTGCTTTAAATACATGTTGTCAATGTCTAAGTTTGTCATCATCAAAAATGGGGAAATTGATGTGTTTTAAATGTCTTTGCCTTATGTTTTGATGATCTAACAAACTTACTGTCAAGAACCAGATAGGGAACCTGACACACTTGAGCTACATTGCAAGTCAATGAATTCCAGCTAAATGTGAACTGCTATAGCTTCAGGAGATAGAGAACCAAACAAGGACATGATACCCTTGTGAATCCCTCATATCAGTACGAGGTAAATTGGACACAACTAGAAGCGACGTGACTGCCTACACTGTTTCTGCCTGGACTGCACTGTTTCCACCGGTCACTTGTCCTTTGACCAACTAAAGTGCTTAAATCATTCAAGTGATGTCATCAAGGTGTATCAACAAAGGAGATTATATCAAAACATCAGTTGAACACTTAGGAATTCACTTCAAGCATTCAAGCCTTCTGCAAAACAGTGAACTTAATTCTCAAGAGCTTGAAGAACAAAGTTAAACGCTACTACGGACCATTCCTAAATCTAGTATTTTATTGTCCTTAGTTGAGTTGTAGCTTTGTGATTGTTCTTATTGTAATTCCTAAATATCTTAGCTAGAAGTGCTGATTAGGAACCCCTTTGTAAAATCATAAACTCTCTGAGTTTGCGTTGTGACTAGAGTTAGTCATAAGTTAAAGTCCTTGTAACTAGAGAGTGACAAAGTGGCTTGTGGTAAGAGTATCACAAGTTAGTTGAGTTGAAGTCTTTGTAATGGAGTCATTATAAAGTGGCTTGTAATAGGTGTTTACAAGTTAGTGAAGTTGAAAGCCTACAAGTGTAGGTCGTGGTTTTTGTCCCCTTGAGTTGGGATTTTTTCACGTATTATTTACTTACTATTTCATTAGCATTATCAGTAAAAACTCATAGAGGAACAAGTACTCTATTGTTTGGTGGACTCATATAAATTAACAGCATTCAAATGATGCGATCTTAGCCATCGTAACCGCTAGCTTCGCCTCTTTCTTAGCCTTCCTATAACACTCCCTAAGTGTCCTCCTCTCCTCCTCGTCGGCGTTCTCTACTAACTTTATATACGTCATTTTCTTGGCTTCTACTTTACCTTGGACCTCTCTCTTCCACCACAAGTCACCTTTGTGACTCTTGGACAAACTTTTCGTGACCCCTAACACCGGTCTAGTAGCTTCCCTAATGCAATTCGCTGTCGAGATCCACATACTACTCGCGCCCCCACAACTCCTCCAAGCCCCCATATCTAACAACTTCTCCCCCAGAGCCTAAGCTTTGTCCTCTGTCAAGGCTCCCCACTTGATCTTAGGTTGACCAAACACCACTCTCTTCTTCTTATCCCTCTTAATCTCCAAGTCCATAACCAAGAGCCTATGTTGGGTCGAAAGCAACTCACTCGGAATAACCTTGAATTCAGTGCAAAGGCCTCTATCCCTCTTCCTACAAAGTAAGTAATCAATGTGAGTCTTGACCACCGCACTCTAGAACGTGACCAAGTGGTCCTCCCTCTTCTGAAAACACGAGTTAGCTAACGCCAAATCGAGGGCTCTAGAAAAATCCAGCAATGAAGTATCACCATCATTCCTAACCCCAAAACCGAACCCGCCATGCACATCATCATAGCCCCTAGTCGTCTCCCCAATATGGCCATTAAAATCACGTCTTATAAAAATCTTGTCGGTGTGCATAATACCACGCACCAGCTCATCTAAATCCTCCCAGAATTGCCTCTTGACCTCCTCTCCCAAGCCCGCTTGAGGTGCGTATGCACTAACCATGCTTAAAGTGAGCCCACCAACCACTAGCTTAATAGACATCAATCTATCGTTCACCCTCTTGACATCGACCACTAGCTCCCTGAGATCCCTGTATACTAAGATTCCCACCCCGTTCTTGCCCCTAGTCAGCGCCCTCTGAGTACCACAGTTTATAGCCGTTAAACTCACGTGCCCTAGTGCCCACCCATCTAGTCTCCTGAACACACGCTATATTGATCCTCCTCTTGTGAAGAATCTTCTGTAGTTCTATAGATTTCCCTATCAACGTCCCTAAATTTAGGACCCAACTTGCAGCCTATCGGAGCCCTTACCCCCCTTACTACCCTTGCCCCTCGCCCCTGCCCCACCCGAGGACATGACCTCACTCTGCCATCACTCAGACCTGCCACTCTAATCTAACGGATATTACACTAGCACCACTACAACCCGTGGCAAGATAAACTACGCAAGAAATAAAGTCTACTATACAAGACTTTAGTAAAATGAACATAAATACAGAATGGTTCACATTTTTGAAACCTCTAGAAGATGTTGACCACGGCCTTTGTACTAAACAAAAGGTAAAATAAAAAATTACTAATATATTCTAGTGTCAAAAGGTTAAAAGAGTTAATTTGAGTTTACTCTTAGCTTTAAATTAACTTTAGTTTCTTGCTTAGTAATCTACTAAACCGCCTATAAGTATTGCAGCAACTGGATTTGCGGACCAAAGTGCAAATCCACGGATTGGAAACGGAAATCTGATAGTCCAAATTTAACTTTAGCTGAAATACTCCGCAGAAGAAGTTATGCAATGAAATATTTTATTTAGTATCAAAGATATCAATGAAGATTTATTTTGAGTCAACTTTGCAAATAAAAGAGAACAAAACAAAATATCATTTTGATACACGGTGCATTTGAAGAATTCTTCTTCCGTACCATTGCTTTTGAATAATCAAAAGAGTCGTGAGAGAGAACAGTATACTACATTCTTTTCCGTTTCCATATTGTATTTGTTAGGATTTTTTCTTGATTTTTTTTTTCATATCTGAATTTTTCCTTTTCTCGGAGGAACGGCAAAGACGTAATTAGTTAATTTTTCCTAAAAGTAACCTATAGATCTCTTTAGATCCCATTTTTGGAGAAGAAGTTTTGCACTTTTATAAAGTGAAGAACTCTCCTCCACATATGAGGTGACGAGTGTCCGTGCGTATGTTAGAATTCCTGATTATGTTCGGGTAGACTTAGGTTCACATCATGTTTTAACTGTACTACTTGAGTTGTCTTTGCCTAGTAGATTCATTTATTTTATGTTACGACTTGAGACTAGGCTTGCATAGAGTTATAGACTCACTATTGTAGAGATGTGACGCGCTACTTGATTTAGCCGCGGAACAATTGTGCTCCACTTATGAATTCCTCCCGCGCTGTGGGTTTTCATGGAAAAGCTTCCTTAAAGTTCTTAACTCACACGTTTATTCGTGAGTGGGGTGAAGGACCCATTAAAGCTTCTTATTCTAATGGGATCCGGCCGTTCGCCTCAGTAGTATAATAGATACATCTATGGTTCGTGTCGTTCAACCCTCGGCGGGGCGCACATTATGATGGGATCGGGCCGTTCGCCTCGGCCGGATTATGTACCACACTCTCATGGGTGCGGGCCGTTCACCTTGGATGTATAATAGATGTATCTATGATTCTGTCGTTCGACCCTCGACACTGCACACATATTATGATGGGATCAGGTCGTACGCCTCGGTATTTCTATAAATACTTCTATGGAATCGTGTGTAATATTTGACAAAAAGCTAGTGTACTGTAAGTTTTTTCTGATGTGAATTATGACGACCTATCTGGTGAGGCCCTTTATATAATTACTCCGGTTGAGGAGGTAACTACTAATTGAGAGCTTGAGTTTATTTTTGAGAGGAGGATTGTACCACGTATTTATACTTGTTTACTTTATTTATTTACTCTGCCTCACATTTGTTTACTTCCTACTGTATTGGATTTGTTGGACCACCAGTAAGTGTCGATGTCGACACATCATCACTATTTCTCCGGGGTTAGGCTAGATACTTACTGGGTATGCATTGGTTTACGTACTCATGCTACACTTGCTGCACTTATTGTGCAGGTACATATATGTCGGGTGGTTATTTTGGGCGCAAAAGGTGCGTCTATTGCGGGGATTTCACTGCGAGCTCCATTCCATGTTACGATCCGTAGCATACGAAGTCTCCATCAGAGTTATTTATATTCTCTAGTCTAACTTGTGTTCCAGACAGATCTTGTATTTTATTATATTTCCTAGCTGATGCTCATGCACTTGTGACACCGGATTTTGGGATAGTCTGTAAATTATTTGGGGTTTTACCTAACTATTACACACTTTAATTATTTATTCTATTTAAATTGTAAGTTTTCACGATTTTTGAAGTATTGATTTCTTTATCTAATAAGATTCATAATTTCGAAAGTAATAAAATGAACAACTAATGTGATAATCCATAGTTGGCTTGCCTGACGGAAACGTTAGGCGCCATCACGACTAATAGTGGATTTTGGATCGTGACAGCTTGGTATCAGAGCGTTAGGTTCACTTGGGTCTCATGAGTCATGAGCAAGTCCAGTAGAGTCCTGCGGATAGGTATGGAGACGTCTGTACTTATCTTCGAGAGGATACAAGGCTGTTAGGAGCACTTCCCTTCTTGATTCCTCGCCGTACGATTTGATTCCATTGAAGCCATGCCTTCATTTCCTTCCTACTTATTCTCATACGATATTGAGCACTTGTTATCAATTGGGCATCGAGGGGCTGTAGTGGTACTGGAGATGTGGTGCAGGATGCTTCTCCCTACATATCGGGCAGGCTATTATCGTCGCCTTGTGGAAGGATGTTCTGTCATTTCAGCCCAGTATATGTATTTCCTGTGGTTTCAAGGCTATGCACTGATTATTATGATGTTAATGCGTTGCTATCGCACAGTGTTGGTGTGATGGTAGGGTGCTTTTTCATGTGTCTAGGCAGTGAATGACTCGAAGGAGAATTTCTCAGTGCATTTTTAGAGGCTCGACATTTAATTACAGCGGATAAAAGGCAATCAGACTATGGATGTTCGGGCTTTGATTGATGGAGTAACCGAGACTTGATATTTTCAAGCGTGGTGGGATTTTCACTTGTGATATTAAGGTTTGCCGGTGTTATGGTCCTTTTTGATTTGCCTTCGAGGCAGGGTGTTGTGAAATAGTGTGTAAGAAGCGGTTGTCAGTCACGGTGTGTAGCGGTTACAGAATCGAATCAGTGTTTCTAATGCTGATGGCTCGAGAAAGATGCTCTTCGAAGAGGTTGAGATTTGGTAGCAATTTATTTATTCAGTCTCTACAGAGATAAATTTTGATTCGAGGCAACAATTGAGTAGTGAGGGACGAGGAAGGACATATGGGAGGTATCTCGCGGTGGTTGAATACTAGCAGGTCAAGTATGAAAAGCAGAAGTCAAGGAGTTGCTTAAAGGAAATGGTTTATCTGAAGTGGGAGTGGCAGAGTATCATATGGATTCGGTAGTAGCATAGCCATATGCCTTAAGAAAAGTTTAGAGCAATTTGGGGAGTCATGGTGGACGGTGACTAGGTCTACGGATTTTATTTGGGATGGAGGCTACTGTACCGAGGGAGATTGAGTATGGCAAGGAGGACTTGCTTGAAATGAAGAGGGGTGTGAATACTTGATTATCATTTTAGGTATTGTCAGATTTTTAGTTAATGTTAGTGGGGAGTAAACAGACTTGTACTGCTGGTGGACGAGCAAGGGCTCAGGAGAGTTTACTGATTTAGTGGTAGTTGTACCCAGTGCATCGTCGTTGGAAGATGTCGGCATGGAATTCCACAGGTGGGTTATCTCCTATGAGCAAGTTAGCAGTTGCGTGATTTTGATGAATTTTCTGTGAAGAGTTCTACGTACTACCCGATAGAAGGTCGAAAATGCGATTGCGGCTGATAATTTGGAATGTTTTATGAAGAAGATTAACAAGAGATTTTGAGAGGTTTGGCAAGTTAACAGTGTGATATCATGGTAACCGAGGAGGAGAAGTCATTGTGAATTATGGGATTTTGTAATTGCGGTTTGAAGTTAAGTGGGAGAGCCCATTGTCTACGATTGGGTCACGTGGCTGTGTCCCTTGGCTGTATATGGTTATTAGCACATTGGTAGATTAGTTATGACTAAGGAAAGGGGAAATCAAGGGTAATTTGGGCAAGGGACTTGACAAATGTGTGCTACATGTTGCCTTATCGATTCATATGCAAATTTTGAGATGACTCAGAGCTTGTGCCTCTTATGGACGTGATGTACAAGTAAAAGGATTCGCCCAATTATTTCTTTGGGAGTGTTCATATGCTAGAAGATAACCAGTGTTGGGTTATATTCGGGACCAGGTCAGAGTGGGTGATTCTCAGCAACGGTCCTAGTGGGTTCAAGAATTAAAGTGCAATGCCTAAGGATTTTGGGTTTGTTGTGTGGTTAAGGATTGAGTTTTGCAGTGGATTATGAAAGGGACTTGGGGAAATTCCTATGTTATTATCGGATCTTAAGGGGCAATATTGGAGAAATGGGACAAACTACTTCGAATTCATAGAAGATCTTTCAGGACGGGTGTACAAGTTAGAGATGCTATTGTGCACATAAGAAGGGTATGAAGTGGTTCATGGGTACTGAGACGATGTGGTCTCGTGATTCGGGTCATTCAGGATGAGTGTTGATTGTGTTCGTTATGTTTGTTAATGGAGCTATTATTATTACTAAGGCAAGTCAAGAGTAAATTGGAAGAAGATGATTGGGTTAGTAAGGGTTAAATCAGCATGATGGTGGAAATGATCAGTTCTTTCGGCGTGTGAAGTTACACATGAGGTTTGTGGTTGTACGTGCAGGCTTGACAGCCACCACAACTTGATTGATTGAGGAGGTATTTGATTCAAATGGTCTTGTTGTGTAAAGGGATTCCGAAAGAGTTATGGCAGTTCATCACGACGCGAGGTTTGTATTTTCAGCGGTTAAGG